ATCTCTTATTTATAAACAAGCCTTTAAACCCTCGTCATTCAGTCCTGGTCAGCAAAAGTCCATTAAAGGTTATCAGAGATAACAACATATCTATTTTAACCTTGATCAAATAAACCAATTTTATATCCTTTCCCTTTAATTTTTAACAATCTTGATCCTTAATCCCCCTCAAATAATGTCCTAGAACTTGATTTCTTCTCATTTTTTCTTTGTCCTTTCTCACAAAATTTTTCAAAACTTTATCAAGTCTCTTTTGTAAATCCAATATAGGCAAGTTATCCAGGTCACTCTTTATCAATTGAAAAGCTGACTGGGTTGGACCAAATTATTGGTTTCCCTTGCTGATGGCAACAGGAAGCCTGTATTCCATATTGGTTTCTGAGAAGGAAGGAGATCTTAATTGCTTCTTTCTTCTTCCCAGTGACCCAGTTCATGAGTCCTGGTTTCCTATTGCCATTAACAGAGCCATTGGGAAAGGGGTAAGCTAAGCACCTAGACAATATATGCAACAATTCCCAGAATGCCTGCTTGTATTTGCTCTACATCAGAAGGAGTCTGGTAGCTGCTTTTTGGGGTAGCTGTTATGAGAGCTATGCCAGAGGCTTAACCATACTGGACAGGTGGTGGAGGTGGTGGTGGGGGTGGTGGTATTATTATTATTATTATTATTATTATTATTATTATTATTATTATTATTTTGAGCTGCTGTCATACCATTGGATATGTGTAAGTAGCTTTTGACTGGTAATCATCCATAATTGTAAGCAAACAGCTATTATAGATCTATATAGCCCTAAATCAGTGCTGCTGTATTTTTATGTTCTCACTATCAATATGGAGTGCAGAAGTTCCCCCCCCCCCCAACATATGCCTTTTCAGAAAACAGACCAGTTACTTCTCCTCTTTACCATTATAAATATCTGCTTTTTTCTCCTTTTTTCCAAATAGGCATCAAAAACCATTTCTGGACTATGGGGATGCTGTGATGCACGGACTAGAAGCCAGCCCCTTTTCATGGCTCAGAACTCATTCTATCTGGGGAAGGTATTCACCTTAATTATAGCTGTGTTGTATGATCTGTGATGATAGATTTAGATTGTCCCACATCTTAAAGTGGAGGCAGGTTTTTTGCTATGCTGGTTCTGAATTTTGTGAGTTGCACTTGCAGCACATAGGGAGGACCCAGATAAGGGAAGATTGATTTAGATCTTCCAAATCCGGACAAGATTTCTTTAGGAGAGACTACTACCTCCATTAAGGAGGCTGGGATCACTCACTCTATTAAAGATTATATCCTCTAAAACTGAGCCAGCTGTCCTTTTCCTTGTCAAATGTAACTAGCCATGAAGGTTCCAGTTGGGTGAATATATGGTTGACTAAACCATACCAAGCACCTTGTTCACAGAATTGAGATCTTGCAAAGTGAAAGTCAGATAATAGTATAGCATCAGACATATCCAAGGGCTGACTTGAATTCAAGTAGTAACTATGTAATCAAATTTATGTTTAAAATGTCTTATGGAACTTATCTTGTGTACCACTGAAAAATTCATTACATCACAATTTTAGCAAGGTTTTTGAGTGGGGTCTTAACTACTAGAAAAAACTCACCGAGAAAAATAATTGTGGTGAAAAATTATTACTTTACCATTCTAATCCCCATGTTACATGAATTTTACTTTATTAGATTTATTCTGTCTCTGGTTGCATTGTAAGATGTCATTTTGCTAACATACTTTTGAATTTTCATTAACACTGAGCATTACAAACCGTTTTTAATTGAAGTTGGACTCTGGCAATACTTCTGAAGATTGAATTGATACATCAGGCAGGTTGAATGTTTACAACTGTTAATCTTCCATATTTATATCTTGTTTTTTTAGGTACCTAGTGAGTTTTTTCTTAATTCTTACTCAGCTGGGATTCTGCTGTGTGTATTTTGTATTCCTTGCTGACAATTTCAAACAGGTAAGAATCAAAATAATGAAATGTGTTATAATATCCCAAACAAGTACAACTGAAAATCCAGAATCATAAGAATTGTTCTAACTTTACCTTTTTCATAAATACTGTGTATGGTAAGGAAGAGACTGGTGGAGTCTCTTGTTATCATAAATATAATTTACTTCATTTATTTGTATCCTGCTGCAATCAGAAAGACTCTGAGCTAAGATATTTCCCAGAAACAAAACAAAACCCCCTATTCTTGGACCAAGCTGAAAAGAGAGCAAGTATGGTGCAGTATTAGATTAGGACTACGAAGATTCAGGTTCAAGTCTACCCTCCAGTATAAAAGCCTAGTTTGGGCCAGTCACCATCTCTCACCCCAACCATCTTGCAAAATTCTTGTTGTGGGGAAAATTTGAGAACAAAATGCTGTGTATGCCACTTCTCTTAGAAGAAAAGCAGGATATACATCCAATCAATAAATTTAGCTTGTAGAATATTTTCACTACTCTTAGAGAAGATGAGATGCAATTTTCTGAAATAGTTTGTCACTTGTCATCTCTAATTTGTTTCCTGTGTGTCTTGAGAAATCATAAGGGAGATGTTGGACCTAGCAGTATCAGTCTTTGAGGAAGGCAGAACACGAAAGTGCCACTGTCTTACCCAGGGCTGTGTTTTCTCCTGTGGAATCATTGTTTTCTGAATTTGAGAAAAATATTTTCCTGTTTTTTGATCTGAGTTTCTGATTTCCCATCAGCCAATTCACATGATTCAAGGTATGATTCAACAACACAATTCCATATTTGAGTATAATGAGTTGTGTAACTTGGCATGCTGTCAGGCCCAGCCCAAGAACAACAGTGAAACAGTCCAGTCTAGTACAGTTCCTTTATTTGCTTACACCTTATGGACAGAATCTTGCCAGACTAAATCTATACTACTGCGACCAGTGGATATATCCTGGGAGATTCTAGGGAGTGGTTATCCTGAACCTCTTTCGCTTCCCACACTCCCCCTGATGACTGTGTTGTCTTTTGTCTCCTTTTCCTTCCTGGAATGCATCCCCCCTCCTTCCTGATAGCCTTGATCTCTCGCATCACCCTCCTCTTCATAGATACATTCCATCACACATGCATTTTTCATCCTCATCTAGATATCATACGTTTAGTGTTAGCTGAATGGGTCCAGTGTCTCAGCAGAGTTAGTAATAAGCTTGCACTAAAGCTGAAGCCAAACTGAGTCCTCATTTTGTTTATTTTTGTGAAGTATTCATTATCTGTTCTGATACCCCTTTCTTGCAGAGTGGGCAGTTCGTATCCTCTTATTTGGGATCTGATCCTTTTGAATAATATCTGGGTATGAAATCATGAACAGCCTCGTCTGAGAAAAGGGAGTCAAAGTTCAGCTTTTCTTAGCGTCCTTGCATTAGTGTGTGTGTTGTGTTACGCTGTTTGATTACAATCAAACTTTTAAAGTACTTGGAGTGTGCAAACTTTGCTATCTAAGTCCTGCTTAATTACAGTTGGAATTAGAATAGCTTTCTCCACGCTCTGATGTCCAGTGTGCTGGATTTTAACTCTTGTAATCCTGTATCCTGTGTAGGGTATTGAAGCTCCATACTTCTAGGTGGCACCAGATTAGAGAAGTCCCATGTTAACTTACTGTTGAATACTTTCTGTCATAATCACTTTACAAATCATGTGGAAGACAGCTGGTTAATAATCAATTTATGTTCATCTTTTATAATCATTCAGGTAATATCTGCTGCCAATGGTACCACCAATGACTGCAGTGCCAATGAAACTGCTCTGTTGGCTCCAACGATGAGTTCTCAGTTATATATCCTGTCCTTGTTACCATTTGTGATATTGCTCGTCTTCATCCAGAATCTCAAGATTCTTTCCATTTTCTCCATGGTGGCCAATATTCTGATGATTAGCAGCCTGATAATGTTATACCAGTACATTGTCTGGGTATGTATAAAACTGACTCCTTTCAGAATCTCCTTAGCACTGGTGCTGCCATTTGGTTGGTTTTGCAGATCCAAGGACAGTGTAATTCCATAGTGAACAGAATATGCTATATATTTAGTAATATAGCATAAAGGACGCACATGGTGTTATATGGAAGAAATGTTTTCAAAGACAGATGTTGGCCTTGTCAGTTTGTAATTTAAGTTTTAACCAAGGTTGCAAAGGGAAAGTCATGAACTCAGTGCATCACGTGCGTTTTAAGTTTTATTTTAGTCGGACAAGGGTGAATGCAATATGGTTATGACACAAGTTTTGGGGGGAAAGTTACTTTGAGAAACAATTTGAAGGGGCAGAGTAGAGATCTTGTTGAGTGGAGGAAATGGTACGTGCAGACACCTGAAGGGGTCTAGGTTGGGGAGAGTTGAAGAAAAAGCAAATGCTCCTAGAGGGTATGAATGGCAGAACTGAAGGAGCAAATGTCATATGTGAAGAGACAGGGTGGGCCAAGCCCAGTCCATGAAATAATAAGTTGCTTTTTTGGAGGCAGAAGAGAAAAATAACTCCACAAAGGGATTGATTCTGTCACATACAAATGAGAGAAATTAATTATTTCTTATTAGTAGACTTTTGTATCTATTGGACAGCATTGCATCTAATGAGGGAAGAGTATAATAAGGAAAGTGTTGGTAGCTGGTAAAAGACCACCTGAGCATTGCATTCTCTTGTTTTCAGTAAGCTATGAGATTCATAGATATTAATGATTGAAATCCAGCACCTCCTTAAGGTGCAGGGAAGTCAGGAAACAGTTTCCATTACTTCCACATATAGCAGGGGAAAACTGTTGTCTGAGAACATGGATAGTTACTACTAGTCAATGTAAGGCAACTGTGTTCCAGATAGGAGATATTCTTTCAGTTTTGTCACCGTTTTTATTTAATTGCCTTGTCTGCAGTGGTTTATAGGACTTTATATACATTTTGTATCTTTCTTCTGGGGTACATTATTGCTTTCACTGTTTTGCTGTATTTCTAGCTTTTAAAAAATGCTTTTTATAACCATATAATTGCCTAGAGAGCTTTATTCATTGGGCAGAATACATACACAATAAATCAAGAAATAACAAGCTTGGGTTGGAGCTCCACAAGGTGCTAGCCAGCCAGGCCCTTATGAGCTCTGGGAATGGTAATTCTAGCGAATTATAGGGATATTAAGCTTGAAAAGGCTGGTGTAGAAAATCTGAGTGAGGAGGGCTCTGTTGGTTTGAGTCCACATAAGGGCATGTCCTAAATTCCAGTAGCTCCTGTTGGAACTCCTTCATAAGATCTTCTGCTTTTCTTTCTTTTAGGACATTCCAAATCCTAACCATCTGCCTTTAGTAGCGCCCTGGAAGACAATACCTCTCTTTTTTGGTACAGCCATCTTTGCCTATGAAGGCATTGGAGTGGTAAGTCCTGCCCAGAATCTTAGCTTAGAATCTTGTTTTGCTAGGAATAGTAAAATGATTTCAGTCTGGTGGATTGTCAGGTGGCATTTAGGGCATCTGTTTCTTTGCATCCAGCAATGTGTAGTCTTCAGGATGATGAACATACATGAGGAGTCCAGAAATCTGTTACTTATTTTTGTCTATATTTGAAAGAGAATCCTTCAAATTCAACTATTTTATGTTGAGTTTTTTAACTTAAAATTCTCATTTGGAACTCTAGTTAGAATGCAGCTTAATGGTGGGCATACCTTGTATAGCTCTACTCTTCTGAACATATCTAGTCATCAAAGTGAACTATTGGAATAAACATGGAAATGTACGATCCATTCCGTGCCTTTTTCCTTCTCTCTTTTCTGGTCATGTTTCTCTTTTATCTTTCAGCAATTTAGATTCAATTCTCTGTAGTGGTAATTGTGTTTCCTGAATGACTGTTGCTTTCATGAGACATTTTATTTGATTATGTGATGCATTCGAGCAATGAAAGGAAGAGTAAAGCCCTATCAAATGCTCATTAGGCCTCAGCCCCTGCACTGGCTTCAATTATTTTGTACTCTTTTGTTTTCTTACTTTGAGAATCATACAGACAAATTCTGAGGATTCAGAGCAAGGCTGATGACAAATGGCTGAGAGTGCAATCCTATCAGATGTGACTTAAAGGAGTCTGGAATATCTGATGAAGTGCTAGAAACTAGGCCAGTTCAATATATTTTCCTACCTGAGGCTCAGCAGCAGATAACACTACTCCCCCCCCACCTCCATCACTGCCAAAGATGTGTGGCTTAGTGCCTCTTTCCTTTCCTGGCAATACAAATACAGCAATAAACTAAATAACTATTTGTTTTCCTTTTGTGCTGTCTGGAATTAGTTCCTGAGACTCACCCAGCCTTATGGTAGTACTAGCTTTGGTGGATAATGTTTTTTTCTTTTTTCTCCCAGCAAATAAGGGGAAAGAGATAAAGAGGTGATAGAATCTCCTTTCCTTGGATTTTTAAGGAGGCACTGGAGAACTTTATCTGAAGCATAGATCTGGCCCAATCGGATAGCATGACTTAGTGTAGAAAGATGGAATTCATGGATTAGTCTTGTCTCAGAAACAAAGAAACTAGCATCATAGTAACAAGATAGTGTATAGATTTATATAATGTGTGAATCCAAACATTGTTGAAAGTAAACTATGGTTTAGCTTGTATGAAATCAACCATTTGTGGCTTATTCAACAAGCTATGGTTAAGCAAATGTGATGTGGATTCTAACAAATAAGAAAGAGAAAGTGGTAAATGATATAGAATATTCTGGTAAATTACTCTTTCGCTAATCTTTTATCTTTATGGGCTACTGTGTAAACACAGAAACTTCATTCAGGTTCATTAAGATATTGAAATAGGTACTGAACATGTTGCAGGTTATATAAATACTTTTTAAAGGCCATAATCATGATGTCAGGTAGCAATGTTTTTCCTGTCAATCTTGACAAAGTTAATGAGGGTACAGTATATGAATGAGATTCTTTTAATTTCATAGTACATGAATGAGAGATTAATTTTTAAGAGATTAGGAGTGTTTGATTTCACAGTCCTTTCTTCCATGAACATTGTCCTTTAAAAAAAATCACTGCAGTCCAAAATATTTCTGGTGTGCCAATAATGAAAATGTTCTGTAAACAACTTTTATGAACTGATGACAATACCATTTGATTAAGGTTGCTAAACATTTTCATCACTGAAACTCACTAATGCAGGAAAAAAAAAGGCTTTTCTAGTAAATATTAGTATATACATTTTAATCATATGCTGTTTTCAAGGTGCAGGATTTGGATAATTTGTCAGTGAAAAATTATTTGGAGTGAGATAGAGTATTCGCTTCTTCAAACTAGCTTTTCTTTTGGAGGCTGCAGAATAATTCCAAATGGCATATTTTCCTTTTGTTGTATTTTTTTTAATTATTTAATCTATTTATAGTTTGCCTCTCCTTCTGGAGTCAAGGCAGCACATGTAGAACTCCAGTTTTCCCTCACAATACAAACTTTGTGAGATAGGTCAGGCTGAGAGCCAGTGAGTGACTCAAACTTACCCAACTAGTTTCCATTGAAGTTGGGGGTTCTAGTCCAGCACCAAAATCACTACACCACACTAGTCCTTTTTATACCTCTCCCATTTTTGCAATGCAAACATTGCATAAAAGAAAAGTACTAACGTTCTGAAAAAGGAGGGTTTAAAAAAATGCTGCACTAGTTGATTGAAATTTAGATATGTAGGTACATTTGCCACTGAACAGGTGAGATGATCTAAATTTACTCCTTAAAAAGGCTGTAATTTGACAAGCGGTATTTTCCAGCTGCTTTGGACTGCAGTTTCCGTAAACTCCAATTAGCATTGCTAATGATTAGGTATTATAGAAGTTTGCAGTTTGTAAAGCCAGTTTGGTGTAGGGGTTAAGGCACCAGCCTAGAAGCCGGGAGACTGTCTGTTCTAGTCCTGCCTTAGGCAGGAAGCCAGCTGGGTGACCTTGGGCCAGTCACTCTCTCTCAGCCCTAGGAAAGAGGTAATGGCAAACCACTTCCGAAAAGCCTTGCCAGGAAAACTGCTGGGACTAGTCCAGGCAGTTGCCAGGAGTCAAGAAGGCACCAAAAGAAAAAGAAAAAAGAAAAGAAAAAAGAAATCTGGTAGGCACCAGGTTGCCCATCCTTGGATTAGTCAGGTAGATATTGGATATCCTTCTGTAGTTACCTAGCTGGTTATTGAGAAGACCAAATGCTGAGCAAGGCTGAGCATGCCTCAGTCTTTTGTCAACAGGTTAGGTTAACTAGCAGAGTAAAATGATATATCGCCTTAAATATTGTGGGCTTTTTTTCTTCTCCAAGGTGCTCCCTCTAGAAAACAAAATGAAGACCCCTCATCACTTTCGCATTATTCTGTATGTGGGAATGGGAATTGTCAGCGTCCTCTACCTCAGCTTGGGAACACTAGGATATTTGCGCTTTGGAGCTAACATCCAGGCCAGCATCACCCTCAATCTGCCCAACTGTTGGTGAGTTGAACTGGGAAGCTTTTGTTACCAGGCAGAGAGAGGGTTGAACTACAGGCTACTCTTGAATCCTCAAGAATGGAATTACATAGGCGGATCCTGAGAAGTAAAAACAATTTGCAAGGGTGCTGCTGCATTTGACCTTCAGTAGGGAGGCTGTTAGAGTATGTGTTCAGTCACATTTTGTCTAATGTCTTCATTCTTTCTCATGGCCACCATCTCTTACAGCAGTCCATGTTCCTCTGTTTTCCAAATTTAGCATATTTTGAGCTGATTCAAGCATGTATCTCGTGTTTCAAATGGATGGTAATGGTAGAAACATTTGAAAGCAATAGTGCACTTTGTACTAGGAGAGAGACCAGTACTGCCACAGAAACATCTGAGAATACAGAGTAGCTATCCCCTGTAATTAGGTTATCACTTGCCCACTCATATTTGACTTCCTTTGTATCCAATATCTGCAGAATCTCTTCCTTCTCATTCATGATCCTGGGAATCAAGAACTACTTACATTGGCTGACTAAACATATTGCCACCTGTAGAACACCATCAAGTTGTCTTATAATACCTCATCGTAAAATTTGTCACTGATGATAATAAAGTTGTCTAGTCTAACTCCCATAACTGATTAGTTTTCACCCTTCTCTAATTCTGATGGAAACCGTGAGAACGTCCATCTCCTTCTCCTAGTCCAACCACAACACCAAGCTCTCCAATTCATAAATTTTGTATAGGGATGATACCATCCATTTTTCATTTTTATCCATTTCAAATAGAAATTCTTAGTTAAATGTGACATCAAAATTGAGAGGACCTATTTCCAATGTCAAAATTTAAATCCTTTAAGAGATCACAGCGTCTTTTGAATTTCTTATTAAAATATTTTCTTCTAAGATCCAAGAGGTTTTATACAAGTGAGGGATACATATATTGCTGAGCTGGTGGAAATCATAAAATCAAATCAGAGTCATACTCCTCTATAACAGTAACACATAACTCTTAATATTAATTAACTGTTCTATAAATTAGGGCTCACAATCATAATTCCTAAACGGTTCTGATCAGATTGAAACACGCAAAAGCATTCCTGTCTTTCAAGATGGATAACTTAAACTTGAATCATATTATGAAGACTGTTCCAAACTCAACCTATGTTTATTAAGTCTAAATGTATATTTTATTCTAAGTTCCTGTAAATCAGGCTGTTTGTTATACTTTATGTATTTTTTGTTTATTGATAAGTAAAACTTAATGTACATTTTTTACCTCAAGTACAGTTCTACAACATTGCTTTTCTTTGATGCCCTCTATATGTTGTTGCACTCTGAGTCATACCTGCCTATCGGCTGTACTGCTAGAGTTGATGGGAATTGGAGTTCAGTATGGGACAGAGTTGCCCATCCCTGATCTATCAAGATTATTGTAAATTTGATTTTTGAAAATAATACAGCATGCGTGCGTGTGTATGTATGTGTGTGTGTGTGTATGTATGTATATATATATAGATATATGTGTGTGTGTGTGTGTGTATATATATATATATATATACACACACACACACACACA